GTGAGAAATGAATTTGGGCAGAGGGGATAAAGTCCTCAAATGTCCTGACCGCTTATGTGATACACAGTTGCCGGAAATTTGTACCGTCCTCAGCAGAGACCCACGTGCCCTGTTACCGCTGTTCCTGCTGGCGGGCAGGACAGGGTGAGAGCTGCCTGCCTGAGGCCCTTGGAAGACACTGCCACTTCAGAGCCATCCATGTCCTTCTGGCTCCCCAGGAGTCAGGCCAGACATAAAGCAAGGCTTCTGGCAGCTCAGCATTAGTGAGAGTAGGTTGTCCTGTTGGGAAGAGTGCTCTGGGGACAATGTGTGGAGCCCATGCAGGCAGTGACTGTTCCAAAACAGACTCTCAGGTCAGGCCCAGGGCCTTTTTCCTATTTAGGAGGTGGCCCAGATCCTGGGAGCTGTTTCCTTTTGGTATGTGTGAGGCTGAAATTGGCCTCCCCATGACCTGAGATCTGCCAGCCGTGACTTAGTGACGAATCAGCCTTGGAAATTATTCCAAATCTTCCATCATGTTTTTAGCTGGAAAGTCCCTGTGTGTTTCTGTCGCATGGAGACCTGGGAAGTAAGAGAGCCAGGTGGGACTTGGCTAGCCAGCCTGACTCATCTTCCGCCTGTGATTATAGTTTGCTTTCTGTGAGGTGGTTGCTGTTGCTGTTGCTTTGAAATAAGGTCTTGCTATGTTGCCCAGGCTGGTCTTGAACTCCTGGGCCAAATCAGTCTTCCATTTTCAGCCACCTGAGTACCTGGGACTCTAGATGTACACTCCCAGGCCCAGCTTACCAATGATTTTTCTGCCCACTCTTCTGTAATCTCCTCCATGCTAATTATTTGGAGTTAGAGGGGCCCGGGAAGGGGTGTTCTGAAGGTGTCACAGTGTTAGGCCACCACCCAGTCCTCCTCTCTGTTGCTTCTTTTGCTGTCTGAGTCAGTCTTCATCATCTAGATAATGACAGTCCCTTGCTCAGAACAGAGAGCCAAGGATGCTGATCTCACTGATTTATTTATTTTTTTAAATTATATTTCCTATGGTACTTTGAGGTTATAGGCTGGGCATGTGAAACATACTTTGGCAATCAGGGAGTTTTGAGTATTTGCCAGGTCTCCTCTGAATGCCACCTTCCCTTCAGAAAAACAACCTCTGTGGGGAACTAGTCTTCAAGGGACACGCTGGCAAGGCGTTCATTCCCTTGTCACCAAAAACCTGGGGCAAGCCTGAGTTCTGCACAGATTGAGCTGGGTGGGCCTGGCAGTATCAGAACAACAGCAGTGACTCTGCTCCTTCCCACCTTCACTTTTGCCGACTCTCCGGCAAAGACCCTTCTTAAAGTTTTCCTGACCCAGAATGTCCTTTCTCTAGGGGCCTGATGGGTGAGTGATTTGAATAGTTCTAAGTACTGGGATTTTTTGGTTTTGTTTTTGTTGGTTGTACCCAATCCCAGAACGAAATCAACATTTCCCCTCCCCAGAGCCCTGGGCTTGGGCTTGGACTGCCACATTCTGATGCTTGATGATCCTTTTGTCTGCGGAGCTTGTAGAATCTCCAGCAAAATAACACTGGAAGGAGGGCAGAATGTCTGCAGTTCTCTATTCAGAGACACTTAAATTCTACATCTTTCATATTGAAAGTTAAGTGGGAAAGAGGTTATTGATGCTCCTGAAGGGGAAAACAAGACTAGGACTCTGGAAATGCACCTTCCTTTTCCTCTCTCCATGGCACAAGTGTAGGGTCAGCATGTTAGTCTCCTGAATTACTATTTTCTTCCTCAGATTCAACTCTTGGCTCTACTGCTCACAAGTTCTGTGACCTCAGCCAGCTTACTTAATGTCTATGAACTTAAGTTACTTAATTTGCACAATGGTAATGCTAGCCCGGCTTGGTGGCACATGCTTGTAATGCCAGCACTCTGGAGGCCAAGGCAAGAGGATCACTGTGAATTTGAGGCCAACCTGGGCTATGTAGTGAATTCAAGGCCAGCCTGCACTGTGAGACCCTGCCTCTGCCTATCTTCAAATTAGGCTTACTTCAAGGTCCTCTAGAACACCTTCCTTGAATCCCCTGTGGGGGTAAGTTGCCCTTTCCTGGGCTCCCATTGTACTGCAGCCTGCAGGTGTTCATCAAGAGATGCTTGCTGCTGAAAGCTCTTCTGTCCCCCCAGAACAGCCTGCAGTTTTTTAAGGGTAGGGTTCCTAACGGTCTACGAGAATTCCTGGCAAGCAGTGCATGTCACCCCCTACAAAGACTTCGGCTCTCTGGTGTTTCTCCATGAGCTTTTTTACCTGCTCCTCTCTGAAATTGCTTTGCTCTAAATTGATGAGGGTTAATCATTTGTTTTCCCTGAAGTGACAGTTCTTATTTTGTTTTTCTTTTTCTATCTAAAAGAAATCCTGGTTTTTATTTTATATTTATGGAGTGTCTAGAAAGCTTATGCTTAGGTAGCTGTTTCACATTTATTTCTCTTTCTCATGTACTTTCTGATTATAAGTGGTTGTCAAGAAATCCACAGCAGGGAGGAAAGAGTCAAATATTGGTGCAGCCAGGAAGTTCCCAGCTTTCTGCCCTCAATAGCACCAGAATGTGGGTCTTGCTAAGGAAAGAGAAAACCTGTTTGGCCCCCATCTCTGCTGTGGTTACCTGTAGTTTTCAAGCTTCGCAGTCTTCCATATGCTCTCGTCTAATATCAGAGCTTAAGCTTTTGATGCCCTGAGCTCGGTGTTGAAGTCGGGATCTGGATGTCTAAAATGATACCCCCAAAGGTGTGATGCTCCCAAGGGTGTGCAGGTGGGTTTTCAAACCCCATCACAACATACTTACCTGCTACTATAAGTAGTCATGCCCCTGGACTCGCTTTTTGCTAAAGACTCTCTGGTAAACTTGAAAGATGCCATTTGGTGAAAGATCCCAATAAATGCAGCAGATACACTTAAGACTTTGACCTGTGTCTATCTGTATTTATTTTCTTTAAAAAAGCTTTTTCTCAGGCCGGGGATTTGGCTCAGTGATATCTCCACCTGCCTTGCAAGCGGCAAGGTGTCCCGAGTTTGATCCCTGGTACCAAAAAAAAAAAAGCTTTTTCTCATGCCATTCCAAAGGAGTTCAAAGCTCTGTACAAGAAAAGTGCCAGCCTCCAGAACACTTTGTACAACTTGTCTCAACACAAAAACTACCAAAGCAATATTGCCATTCCTTTCGTTTAGTCAGGCTTCGCTGATAGCGCAAAACTGAGTCGGTGTGACATTGCATGCCAGACCCCAGCACAGCCTGCCCAGGCCAGACCACGAGATCATTCATGACCCACCCCAACCTGTGTTTCTGCCTCTTTTCTACCACTTCATGCCCCCCCCACCGAAGGTCTAATAAAATCTAAACACAAGTGCCTGTCCTTATTCCTTGATGCTTTCTCCTCCCATCTTTCTTCTGTCAGATGACTTATCTGCATTCTAAAGCAAATGGATACCTCCTACCTGTGCAGGAATATACACAAATTGGTGGCGAAAATGTTACTGGACATCAGCGGTATTGCTTAACCCATATTTACTGAACACTGCCTGTACACTAGACTTAAAACAACAGAGGGAGGTAGCTGATAGGCCAGGGGCCCAGACTCAGCATACACACACTTTTAAATGTGTGTATGATTATAGTTTCATTCACTGCTCCTAATAACCCTGGGAGGTGGGAATG